AAAAATGGTCACGGTACATCCAGTGGCCAACTTCCTTAATATTATTACATTAATATGATACATTAATACTCTCTTGGAGCTTTTTACAGATTAATATCCATAAGCTTAATAATCAGTTACAAAAAATACACAAGTATGAATATTAGCAAAGAGAAACATTAGGGGTGTTTTATATTTTCTAAATTCAAAAACATAAGTGATCCATAATGAAATCTGCAACTGATTTATATAGAATTATCTCTGTTTTTAGATTATATACATAATGCATTACAACAGTTGTGCAAATATAACATTTTATAAAAAAAAATTATTGCTTGTTGCTACTCTTCCACATTATCAATCAATCATTGCTGCCCCATACAAACATGCAATACCAGTGATATCAAACCTGCTCACCGACAATTATTACATCATCGTAGCACATGTACTCGATAGAACTCAGTAGCTCAAGGTTCAGTTATTTTGATATCAATACCCATTAATTTCTCCAACCTTCATTTCTTACTGGGGCAACTTATTTTTTAATATTGTTTTTTGCAAAATATCCATAACTTACAATATACACTTTAAGCAGGTAACATTTTTTTTTTTTACCTTAAGTGTTAATATACCTGTGATTGTCCAGCTGCTTGGAATGTTCTTTCAGTGTTGCATAATGATTTTTTAAATTAAGAGATTGTTAAGGAAGAGACATTTCCAGGGACAAATAATGTCCGGTGATGAAGGTTTTCATCAATGTATCATCCCCTAAAATTTATCTGCAATAAGGTGTGTTGTTATTTAGCCAGCCTTTACTAAGTGAGTGCCCTAAGACTTGCGTTGCTTATCCATTGAAGTAATCAGCATTGCCTATTTCCTTATTCCATTTACTTATTTGGGAATTTAGCATGCCCTTATGATTCTAACGAGGACCCTTCTCTAACTTCAAGTCTGCTACGGCTGCTGGCTACCACATTGCACTACACCATATAAATAGATTGCATAATGACAGGATGACAATATGTATAATTACCAAATGCACAGGCTGTCAGATAATAGATATGCTTTAAAGAGAAAAAACTCAGGAACTTGATCGCGGGCAAATTACCGAACAAGGGTGTGAGGTCCATTAATCATTTACTCTCTAATGAGATTACTCCATGTGTGAGCCTAGACACTTCATATAATGCATTCTTCCTAAAATGAGCACTCAGTCAGATGCATAAGAAGAAACGTTTTATTAATTTATGTATTTATTTTTTTTATTTTTGTATTGTCTGGTGGATGCGCCAGTGACCACAATAGGAAAAGCTGTGCAAAATTAGCAGTTATAGATTGAGTCATGAAATTAAAAAAATTAAAAAATTTCCATGCACCCTTCATTTTGCGAAAGAATGAAAATGAATCCACTTGAGAATTCATGTCTGACTTAGTAAAGGATCAGAGCCAACAGTTTACACTGCACTGGCAAAGTGGCCAAGAAAATATTGGCAGAAAAGATGCATTTTAATTTTGTACATGTATCTGTGTGCTTTGCAGCCAAACATTCTCTGTATATTTATTTGTATATATATTTTTATACTTATCAGTAGTAGTGCACAAAGTGGAAGGAATGTTTAAGGTGACATTTTTGTTGTCAACATCAATGAATGTTTTAAAGAAACTGTATATATATATACCAAATTACTTTTTGGAGAACCTCGTAGCAGGTTATTTTGGGGACCTTTCGTAAGACAAAACAAAACCTAAATTTTTTTTTTGTTTGTTTTAAGCTGCCGCTTGCTGTCATTTGGCTATCAATTTCATATGACCCACCTTAACCTCATGCTCATTTAGGTTTAACTTGAATCCAATCCGGACCGCACTGGCCATCGAACAAAATCGTACAAAAAGTCTCCAGTGGAGAGACTAAAAAAGGAGGAAAGAGAACTTGGGTTACCATGGCAACACCCTTATACTGTCACCACCACCACCACCAGAAGAAGCTGCCTGCACCTGCAGAGGGTCCTGAGAAGCAGGATCTCCCACTGGACAACCACGGATCAGGAGTCTCCCGTCCCTGACCCAAGGTAAGACTCATGGAAGGGGGATTATAGGTTAGCTTTTTTTCTTCCAATTACTATTTTTTATATATTGCCCCTTTCCCCCCACTGCCCTTTCCCCCATCACAGCCCCAATCCCCATCTTTTGTCCTTATCCCTTATTACAGACCCTATCCCCTTACTGCCCCTTTTCCTACCCACTCACAGGCATACACAACACCACAAGCAACCTCCCTCCAAAAACGTGACCTCAAAAGCAGCCTTCAAATATATACATAATCACAGGCAGTCTCCCTATACACACACAACACCTCTACCAGCCCTGCCCTTCTTTTGTCGTCTGATATTCCACTTATGGGGACACCAGAGACAGGTGACCAGCAAACACATAACATGAGTGCCATAAAATTTCTTGCTCTGCACTAAACAAACACAGAGCTTTTTCCTTATTCCAGAGTTATTTATGAGTGCACTGCATATGAACTGCCCTGCAGCAGCATCAAACTGGCATGCCCATTTTCTGAAGTGTGCGTCCAGGCAACTTCATTGAGGTGAAGTGGTCTGGGTGACTATAGTGGTCCTTTAATATATAAATGGAAGGTCTCCATGTGTTTTACAAGTAGGTTTTACAGCTGTATGAAGAAATGCACAGCCCACACTACTTAAAATCAGAGTGCAATACATTTCTGAGGAAAATCAATCTAAGAGTAATTACAACTACACCTAAATTGTGGTTTTCCTGCAATCAAGCTGAACCGTGGTTTTACACAGAACACTGCTGAACTATGATCAGACCTAAATGAATATCAAAATTTGTCATTTAAATTGATATTTTAAGTTGAACTAATTTTTCATTAAATGTTTATCAGTCCACTTTGTCTATATTAATGTGTGTGTTTGTATACATATTTAAATGTAAAGGGCCCTTCACTCATATTGGCACCCTTGATAAATATGAACAATTTAAAATATCAATGGGAATATACTTCAGATACATATTTTTTCATATGACTTATAAGGGGGCCAATATTTGTGCCTACATATTTCATGAATGTAAAATTTTTTTAGATAAAACTGTGTTGTGTTTTCAATTTTTTTATTTCCACGAGAGCAGAGTATTTTTGTGTATTTTTTAAACAAAAGATCAAAAGGTTAAAATAATAGAAGCAGTTTTCCACAGCCTTCTTTGCTCATATTTACCAATATTGGTCTGTATGAACATATAGATACACACTTATTTCCCCCCGATTGTTCAATGAACCTGCTAGCAGGTTTAAAGCTTATTGTTTATTTCAGGTAATTGAAAGTTACTCCTTTGAAAACACTCTGGCAAGAGTTAGTAAATGACTTCATTTTGGACCTCCGTCAGCACTGTCTTTAAACACAGTAGTCTAATTAACTGGAAAATGTCTTATAAAAAAGACCCTACTGTGTCCAAGAAACCACAAAACCTTGTGCACACATATAATAGTGGAAATTAGTCATATTTAAAGCGAGGAAAGATACTAAGTGATCTGTTAAATTGCATATTCTCCTGCTGGCAAGAGAAGTACTGAACCCATGAGAGAGAGCGAAAATACCTTGCTCTGATAAAGAATAATGTGCTTATTTAATCAGTTGAAATTGATATTGTGCGTAGGCAATGTATCCAGCTTTTGGAATGTGTTATGTTCTCTGATTTTGTTGTACAGTTTAGTACAGTGCTATCTGATCATTCCTTTTGAAGAAGGCGAATCTGCTAAATTACGAACGCTAACTATCGAAGCTACGATGAAGTCCAGAAAACACCATGGCTGGTCAGAGATTGGCTCAGAAGGACTTTCCAGGACACATACGATTTCTTTCACCATTGATGACAAATCCTAAAGTTATGACAGAATAATATACTTGATTATTAAAATACATATTTTATAAGATTGAACTCTCGCTGACGAATGTGCATCATAATAAATAAAATTAGGAACCTCCAGAGTGATAGACGTTTATGTTCTTTTTTAAATTTAGGTTGCTTTTATTTTACCTCCCTGTATCTATATTTCAGTCTCATTAACAAGTTCTTTGTTCTTATAATTCACCGTTACAACTTTTTGATGCAGTGGCTGTTAATAATAAGACATAAGCTTGCAATGAAGGAAAAAAGGAATTACGATTTTAATAATGGATCTAGCCATGTCTAATTGTCATAGTCAGTGCTAAATCCAGAAAGTACAGAGCCTATAGTTAGCTGAATAGAACATTCATCTATAGATGCAAGGATGTCACCAAAGGCCTTCATAGGAATATAACACAACACAGGGGGTTTTTAAGAAACAAATAAAGAAGAATTCTTGTTCTGCACGCAGGATTCAAATGTTGCTTTCTAAGGGATAGTAACAATTCATCGCTAGTAGCACATATATAAAAGGCAGTGATTATGCTTGCTTGTGTATAATATCTCACATCTTTTAGAAATAAACTAAATGTGTCAACTGAACAGTGGTCAGAGGCAAATTAATGTTTCCCTGAGTGGCACAAATAGTAAAACATCTTCAGATAGAGAACTAACGTGATATTCCCTAATACTAAAAGAAATAGGGAAGTAGAATTCTACTTAAACATGGACTTTAAGGACTCCTCTTTTGAGTTAGGTATCATTAGACTCTGTCATCCTAATAGATTTGCATAAAGCACACTCCGTAGACTTAGAGGGACTAAAAGTATCTGAAGTGCAAATAGAAACACTTCTAGCACCCAAATGATAATAAGCAAGACAATGCAAATGAATCCTTGTAGTTTTAAAATATATAATCACCAATATTAATCAAAGATTAGGATGATCTCTGTGACGAGACCAATCTCGCCACTGTGCTTTGGAGGAGCCTGGTTGCCCGCCTGCTGCCTTAAGACTATGGCCCCATGTTGAAACTCTTGATTTTGCCCTGTTTGAGCGGTGATACCCCAGATAGCTATGCAGAAAAGCCATGCTTCATTTGGTCACAAAGGACTTCGATCTATCTTTTGAACCAATGGACCAATTTGGATGATTTTGACATATGTTTGCATTTGTAGTATGTTGATTCTGAAAATGTAAGTTTTGTGTGAATGTGATGTATACTTTTAAAGTTATGAATAATGTGGAAAAACTTTATTTCTCTGTCTGTGATAATTACATTAATCCATTGTGTAAGGTCATTGTATAACAGGCAGAAGGGAGGATTTTGTGTGGGAGTGTCTGAGTGTATTGTACGTGTTTATTGGTGGTTTTCCAAAACCCTGTGGGTGGTACTAATGTGTAAGAATGTGTATATAAGAACAATAAACCCACAGCTCTGTCTGTTCACTGCTTGACCTTCAACACGGAGCTTTGTCTCGTTCTTGGGGGGCATTTATCCAGTTCGACTGCTAGGAGTGTAAACCTTTCGTATGGTTTTTCCTATTCGGCTGTTTACAGCATTCGTATGGTTCAGGTTCGGCTGTTTACAGCATTCGTATGCTTCTCCGGTTCGGTGGATTGGTGTCTACAGTAGCTGTGCCTGTGTCTCTGGAAGGGGAAGATCTACTAAATGGGGGTTTAACCCTTTTATGCCTGGGGGTGCCGTTACAATCTCAAACTTCAAGATTAGTTCTGCTGAACAAATCTTAATGGAGTTTCCCTTTGCAATTTGATGTGCTCTGAAATAAAAATCTCAAACACAGCAATGATCAATAATATGCTTTTACCGTAAAAATGTAAGTGGCAGGAAATACCTTAACCTCTTGCTCAACCCAATCCTTACTCTAAATGCACCCCTTAGGGTCATCATTCTCCTTTTTTACCTATATTAACAGAGGGGGGAAACTGTTGCGGTATTATGACTGTATTGACATTACAGGATCCGTTCAAATGAGATTAATATTTGAATGTCCACCAGACTAAAATTATACACCCAACTTCTTTAACTTTCTACTGACCTTCGCTTCTTTTACGTTACTAGAAGTTTGGACTTCAACAAGGTTAGGGGCAGAGTCAAAGTTCAAGGGATATGAGTGAATACGCAACAGTGAGCACTACTATCTGAACTGCATCCGGGATCATAGATCACTTTACTGCGTGACAGCACAGAAGGCAGGAACATATGCATAATGACAGCCAATATGGGGTAAGTAAAAATAAAATATAAATAAATCATTATATATAGATTCCCCATATGGTTAATGCAGTATATGTATGGAAAAATAATTGGTTTAGTCACAACTCATTTATTCATGACAGCTTCCTTTTAATAAATTCGGTTAGAGGACAAAACACAAGAATGTAAAAGTCTAAAAAAAGCTAATCATTTTTATTTCAATGTTTTAATAATAGATTACCTTTAAAATTGTATTACGTTTTTAAATAACACAGATTACATTGATAATGATACTTTTTTAAAGAACATTGCCTGTAATATGTAATCATGTTTTACTAGACACCTGAATCCTGGCAACGAAAATAGGGGTTATACACTAAATTTATTAATTCAAAGAGGATTTCCACTTAAAATAGCCAAATTGGAAAGGTTCTGTGTTTTTAGTTTGGCTGTGTTGGCATATAATTTAAAATTAACATACTCAGCAAAGGTTTGTTTAATTCGAGCTAAGATAGATATATCCCTCATGCCCATAAAAAAACAACCCAAAAAAACACACTTAATTTTAGCTCATGGGTGTCCACAGATGTATTAAAACTACTTTAAAGGCACGCAGAGATCTACAAAGCATCATGGGAGTTGTAGTCCTACAATATCTGGGGATCTACCTCTTGGGCACCCCAATTTTAGCCCATAAATGGCTTAGTTTAATGCAGTAACAATATTCCTTATGCAACGCAAAGCTATATGCACTATTTAGGGTTAATCAAAACACGCATAAAGGTCATTGTCATTGTTTTTGGCACCGCTCAATTTTGTGGCTTCTGATGTGTTACTAATTTTTTTGCTACTTGAGAAGTTAGTTGTAATATCTTCATCCCAATTATGTTTATTTAAAAACGTATGCTGAAGCCAACTGGAGAATTCCGAACATTGTTTTGAAAAATATTTGAGTTCTTGGTATAACTGCAGCATGAAATTTGAAATGATTTACATTTCAGACTAATAAATGACAGTCTGCAAGAAGCCCAAATACATCAAACATCTGTTCCCTAGCAGAGGAAGCTAAGCTTGTACTGCTCCTCCACTACACATTTCAAATTTCATGGAGCATCTCTTAGCGATAACAGTCCCAGACAGCACTGACACATAATCTTAGAACACACTGATAATCTAAATGCTTTTGCTATAATAGTCTTCCTCTATTTGAACTGTATATCACAGCATTTATCATCACGGAAGGCAACACTAACAGAAAACGGCTTGCGGCTTTTCTTTTTTTTTTGACAGACCTCTTACTGTCTTAGACATTGGGCCAATATTTCCTCTTGCTCGTTGACCATGTCTTAAGGTCCATCTGCCTGAAGCTAAAAGGGTCAGAGTTTATCAACATACTTATGTGCTGCTATTAGCAGAATAAAGCTTGGTGAACCAACCACGTTCCTAAGGTACAAAGTGGTGGAAAACCAGTCAATTATAGTATGTGTGCTATTAGAACAGATTAGTAGCTTTAGTCAATGGTAAATTTGGTCAGTCTAGACATTCTCTACCTAATGCCCTCTATAGCAATGCATTCTCTTGACTGTATTCTCCATGGTCATAGACTATATTATGGTGTCCTTTCCTCCACTAACTACATTTGGTAAACTCCATTGTGTTTTGAATGTTAGTGCTTGCTGCATTGAAGGTCTTCAGCTAGACACACCAAAAAAAATGTGACTGCAATTTGTCCTCCAGAACTACCCTCTATAAAACCACATGCACTTGGAACAATCTGACATTACAATGCATCACCTGCAGTTTAGTTTACTAGATGCCCACCTAGTTTGTCTTTATGCAATCATTAACTTGGTATTCACATGTGTTTTGGCACACAATAAAGAATGGTAAAATACTAATATGATGATGTTAATTTTTTTAAATGTAATTTCAGGAATTCACACCTCATTAAGTTAGGAAGTTTCAAATGAGACCTGGAGCTGCACTAATAGATCAGTGAACATTGGCAACTGTGCTTGAGCATGACTAAGTAATATTTACATTCTAATATATTAAGATTCCAATTTGAAAATGTGTTTTTTTTTTATTCTGTGGTTGTATGACCTCTAGGAATCTAAAAGGAGCATATAGGATTATACATTATTACAGTTTCCCTACACATCATACCTGGAAACTTGACATTTTAATCCTTCACTCCAATATTGTTGGACTTTTGTGAGAACACATTTCACAATGTATCTTTTCCCAAAGACAAGGATCTTCGCTCACCATGAAAACACTTGTGACAACCCTGCTTGCTTTTTGCATCAGGACAGGAGCTTTTTGCTTACCATACTAGTTGCCACAATACACGAAGAAAATGGAGATATCCAGCTTAGAACATACGAGCAAGGATAATTCCTTTATTAAGTGTTATCAGTACTTTTGAATCAGATCCTTAGGAACTTGGGTACAAAGTATCTTTCATATGGTTGCAGTGAACCTACTTACATCATTCCCACTTAGTGAAACACTAAAGTCAACCACAAGTCAAGACATCATGTACTACAGTATTTTTGGAAGAAAAGAGAGAAACGCGGTAGAGAGGTAAGGAAGAGCATAATGGTTTGTTTATGGAGAAAAGCAAATTGTCTTCAATCACTTTATTTATTAAAATAATTTGTGTTACATTAAACAATGGTCAATGTCACAAGCCTTTTGCAGTGGTTACGGAATGAGAAGTCTTATCTTGGGTTCAGTCCCTCTGTTTTTGGATAACAAAAAGGGTCTCTTGCAATTCTGACCACATTGTTGCCTTCAAGATAATGAGGAATTTCATCTAATCTATATCTTCCAAAAAAAGAAATATTTTGCCAAAGAAAACTTTGTTCCCAAGACAATAAAATGTTCTTAATATATCACTTTAATGAAAAGATTAACTATAAAAATATATCCTGGTTGTTTACATTATATTTTGCATCTCAAGAGAAGAATAAATGCTTGCTGATTTTTAAACTGCATCTTAGAAGAGTCAGAGTTATATTCAGTATAACAAGGTTAGCACACCATTATATATTTTCTGCATGGGATTGTAAGTAAGCCTCATTGCACCACAAAATATCTGTAATCAGAGACTTTGAAGGCAAGTATTACAACCGTGAGCTATTTAAAAAGACACTTTTGAATGAATTTAACATTTGCATCTAGGGTGAAAAATCTGTTTTCTTCTTATATTCATTTTAAAGACGTTTGTTTATAGACAATTAAATAAAATGTCCATAATAGAAAAAATTAGGAATAAATATGTTTTTGGAGGCGAGTATAGAATAGAGAGCACAAAACTGGCAATAGTAATAAAATGTGAGAACAGGGAAAAAGGTTTGAGTCATCAGTAGAAGTAGAGGGTGAGTGGTTAGGGTGGTAAGGAGGTTATGGGCCTGGTTGTCAGGAAAGTGAGATGGTGGGCCCAAGACACCTTCTTACAATTATGGAAAGGGGATATTTAAAGGCCTCACAATCTATGAGAATTTGAGGTAGGCAGATATGTATTTTTAGGGGTTTTGCCTATAAGGTACTTACTGGCAAGGTGGTCTGAATGGGATTCAAACCTGTTCTAGGACTACTTCTTTAACCAGCAGATATACATATGGTATGCGACAGGAACATACAGAAACCAGCCTCGAGCAAGTAACTGAAGAAATGGCCAGCAAGACGAATCGGACACATAACTATTAGACATGACAAAGGAAAATTGGGAAACCAAATTTTCACCAAAGCCACATCTGCTGCAGCACCTGGACTAGTCTAAAATCGTTAAAGACGCTGGCCATTCCAGATCTGCTCTATCTTATAGTGCCACCATGTCATTATTGATACGTGCGTGCATGTTCGTGCAAGTATGCATGTTCTGTGGTCAAAGGACTCATTTTGACCAATCAGCAGTGTTTTAGGATTATTTAAACCCAAACCTGCTTGTTGCTAGTGCCTTGTCATGTTTTACACTTGCTGGTTATCTGAGAGCGTGTTCCCATAGTTTTTCTTCTGCCATTTTGATCTCGGTTTGTTCTTGACTATTCCTAATTCTGATATCCTTCACATTTTGTTTTTGTCTACACGTTTTTGTCTCTGTCTGTGTCCCTGCCCTCTGCTTGTTA